CCTTTCCTTTCCTTTCCTTTCCTTTTCCTTTTCCTTTCCCTTCTCTCTCTCTCTTTCTTTCTTTCTCTCTCTCTCTCTCTCTCTTTCTTTCTTTCTCTCTTTCTTTCTTTCAGTTTCTGTAGTGAGCATGTTACTTTTAGCAAATAATAATTTTAAAAGATACTGCAAGTAGTTGGGACCAGCAGTTAGCGTAATGGCTATGTCGCTTGACTCCCGTGTAGTCCACCGCAGTTCGCATCCTGGACCTGGTGGCTTAAAACTCACGCTGGGCGCATGTGCGTGCGTGCCCAAGATCCCAAGAGGAGAATGGAGAAGGGATTGCAGCGTGGCCATCCCCCCAGGGGATGATTTCTTTCTTTCGTCTCTGTCTGGCGAGTGTACGCGCCCTATAGCAAAAACCTCTCCCCCCCAAAAAGATACTACAAGTAGTACTTATTTGTTTAATACCGTATCCAGAACTTTATTAAGAAGATCTCTAGATGGTATATTGATATATATAAAAACTGGTAAACGGAAGAATATTTACAGTAGGTTTGGACCAGACTAGGAATGGCTTCCAGCTTACAGTGGTTCAAGCATGAACAAAATACTGATCCTATCCAGCCGTAGACTTAGTACAAGACTCATAAATAACAAAGCATAACTTAGACTGCAATAAATTCAATATACAAGTGACATGCTGTGTGAAAATGGAGATATGATCTGTTTGAGAGAACTGGGTAGGTCTAATAAAGAACGTGATATGAGAACTAAGGAGAATGCTAACTGAGAAGGGAGGTTACGGCAGGAAGTGGGTACACACCTGACTGAAGAAAAGAATGGGAATGAGCAGATGAATGTGTGGATGAACAGGTGACAGGACAGGAAAGCAGTATTTTCACAGTACAATTAGACAGCAGGCCTTTATTCTAGTTTTTTTTTTTAAATATATTATACAATTACTTATTCAGGATGAATTTCCTATCAAATTAGTCCACAGGGATTGCTAACTCATACTAACTATATGTCTAAACTAATTTTGAAACACTTTTACTTGTACTACAGGCTTTTAAATAGCATAGTATTTCTATTTGTACAATCATCCACTAGAAGAGGTGAAAATTTCAAATTTTACTATATGGACATTATTTTAGTCAATTGGGAAAATCCACATTTTCAGTATAATTTAAAATAGTCTCTTTCCTCTATCCAGTGAACAAGATTAGAGGGGGAAAAATACACTACAACTATACTGTTCGAGGACAAGCAGGTGGTATGGTAAAGGTCCTGGACTATATCATATGGCTAACCTAACCATGGTTTGAGTCCTGGACCTGGTAGCTTCCCACATGGCCAACCATGGCTCGAGGCCTGGACCTGGTGGCTTGCTTTTTCATACTCTCTCTCTCTCACTCTCTGGTCAAATTTTTAAAAATGATAAATTAATAAAGTTAAAATAATTCTTTAAAAAAATCATGCTGGACACGTGTGTGTGTGCCCAAAAATCCCAAGAGGAAAATGGAGGAAGGGGAACGAAGTATGGCCATCCCCTGGAGGGTGGGGAGGTGGGTGAGAGTTCTCATTTTCCCTATCTCTTGCCAATGAGCCACGCATCCTATAGTAAAAACCTAAAAACAAAAACTATGCTGTTTCTACCATTCAGTGTTATCAGCAACTGCAATGACCTTTAAAGGCACATTAAGGAAGTACAGTATTGGGACCAGCAAATGGCATAATGGTTATGTTGCTGGCCTCCAACATGGTGGGCTGTGGTTTGAGCCCCAGACCCAGCAGCTTGAAACTCATGCCAGGCACATATGCATGTGACTAAAATTCTGAGAAGAGAATGAAGAAGAGATTGTGGTGATGTCTCACTTTCCCTCTAGGTGGGTTTGTCTCTCTCACCCCTCCCCCAGACCATACATGCCCTAAGGTAAAAGCCTCTTTATTTAAAAAAAAAGAAAAAGCACAAGATTTGTCTATTTTCAAAGAGGTTTATTTTCTAAGTTTCTTAATTTTCTACAATTACTTTTTTTTTTAATTTGACTGTATTTATTTATTCATTTTTCATTCAACCAGAGAGGGACAGAGTGAAAAAGAGAGGGAGAGAGAGGGAAAGTGAGAAAGCAAGCCACCAGGTCCAGGACTTGAACCGCAATTGGCCACATAGGAATCTAGTACACTTAACCAGCATGTCACCTGCTGCCCCTACAATTACTTTTCTTAAGAGAGATTTTTGCTATAAGGCACACGTGCCCGCTGGAGAGACAGAGAGACAGAAAGTGAGAAATGACCCCTGCGGGGGATGGCCATGCCTCAATCCCTTCCTCTCCATCTCCTCTCAGGAATTTGGGCACACACATGCCCAGCGTGAGTTTTAAGCTGTAGGATCCGGGATTCAAACCGCAGCTGACCACGTGGGAGTCAAGCGGTATAAACATTACACCATCTGCTGGTCCCTACAATTACTTTAACAAGAATAAAATGCTATATGTCTTTTTTTTTTTTTTTAGAGGTTTTTGTTATAGGGTGCGTGCGGTCGCCAGCCAGAGAGAGACAGAGAGATAGTGAGAAATCACCCCCCCCAAGGGAGATGTCCACGTGGCAATCCCTTCTTCTCCATTCTCCTCTTGGGATCTTGGGCACGCACGCACATGCACCCAACGTGAGTTTTAAGCCACCGGGTCCGGGACGCGAACTAGCAGTTAGTGTAATGGAATGGACTCCCATGTAGTCAACCGTGGTTTGAGTCCTGGACCCGGTGGCTTAAAACTCACGTTGGGTGCATGTGCGTGCGTGCCCAAGATCCCAAGAGGAGAATGGAGAAGAAGGGATTGAAACGTGGCCATCCCCCTTGGGGGGGGTGATTTCTCACTATCTCTCTGTCTCTCTCTGGCTGGCGACCGCACGCACCCTATAACAAAAACCTCTAAAAAAAAAAAAAAAAAAAAAGATGACGACTTCGGTGTAGCTTCTGTCAAAATTACTTAAGTTCTCTAGGTCCCAGTTTCTTTTTCCTTCCTTCCATTCTTCCTCTCCCCACTTCCTTCTTTTTTTTTCTTTTGAGAGGTTTTTGTCTTAGGGCACATGCGCCCATAGGAGAGAAAAAGGAAAAGACAGTGAGAGAGAAAGTGAGGATCCTCCCCCACCCCACGAAGATGGCTACACCACAATCCCTTCTCCTTCATCCTCCTACCAGGATCTTGGGCACGCACACACACCCAGTGTGTTTCAAGCCACCAGGGTCCAGGACTTGAACAATGGTTGGCCATGTGAGAGTCCACTGACATAACCGCTACACCATCTGCTGGTTCCTCCAGTTTTCCTTTTTTTCTTTCTTTCTTTCTTTTTTTTTTTTTTATTTGAGAGGTTTTTTGCTATAGGGTGCACGCGCTCACCAGAAAGACAGAGAGAGACAGAGAAACAGAAAGTGAGAAATCTCTTTCCAGGGGGAATGGCCACGCTGCGATCCCTTCTCCTCCATTCTCCTCCTGGGATCTTGGGCATGCACGCACATGTGCCTGGTGTGAGTTTAAGCCACCAGGTCCGGGACCTGAACTGCAGACGGCTACATGGGAGTCTAGCGACATAGCCATTAGGCCAGTAGCTGCCCTCCCTCCC